CCCCCCCCCCCCCCCCCCCCCCCCCAAAAAAAAAAAAAAAAAAAAAAAAGAGTAGGTCGAGAGATTTTCTTCTGCTATTGTTTAAAAATTATAACGTTCATTATTTAATTTGCAGGATTTTTACTCTATCCTTGGAGTGTCCAAAAATGCCAGTAAATCTGATATTAAAAGTGGTATCTAACTTTTCCTTAGAATCTATTGAACTTTTTGGTTTTTGTGTTGCTATTTTGCATGTCTTGAACATCTACCCCCCTCCCACAGTCGGGGGGTGGGGGGTGGGAAGGTTTCTCTCTCTTTCTTGTTTTATGCAAATTTAAGGCAGCAATACGTTGAATCTAATTGTAGCAACAAGTTATTAACTCACAAATGGTTGCGATAAACTGTATTTTTTCTTCAGGATTTGAGTTTTCTTTTAGTCATTACAAGTACTGTTCGTGATCTCTCCTGCATTTAGGACTTAAGCAAGGCAAATTAACTCATCAAATAATAAATATTCAGATTAATAAGTTTGAAGACCTTTCAAGATCTTTCACTGTTTATCTATGACCACTAATTTCTTTGACCAGTTTTATAATAGTTGATTCTGTCAAGTCCTTATTGGATCAGGTGGCATTATCCTGTCAACATGCCATGGCCTTTGTTCATGTTCCGTTGAATTTCTTTATTTCTTTATTTTTTTAAATGCCCCATTTTCTATGCTTTCATTATTATTGGGCTGTATTTCACTGCTTGTTGATGGCTATTATCTTTAATGCATAATGAAATATCGTTTATTCTATTATGTTTCTTTCAGTGTTCTAATAGGAATAGGAATTTGAGGAGCACATTGGTAGAGATATGGTTAGGGACTCGTGCTAACGAACTTTCCTCACTTTCCAGCTAATTACTAATATGGATCTGATAAACACCCCCATCATAAATCTGACGTCATATATTTGGGGAAAATGGCTATCTGATTCTGCTTTTGCTTAATGAATATACATGATACATGTTGTCTCACATTGAATAAAGCCTTGTGTGCATTTGTATTTTGTGACTGAGAAACGAAAAGTCCGTGAAAGGATAACGTCCAAAGAAAGCACCCACATTTTTTTTTATACGGAGAATGAGTGCCACCTATTAGAAAGATTAGTTAATATATTCAAACTGTGAAAGAGATATAGTGGTGCTTATGCCCGGTAGAATCAATTAGGTGATTATGTTCTTGGAGGAGGAACAAGTATGCCAATTCAAGACATGAATCTGAGGAAGGGATTTCTTCTGATGTATATTTGATTTGTTACTTTTTTCATCTAACTTAATACTGACTCCTAGATATGTCTCATCCATTACATATTACCTTATCCCTCATGATATGATATTTTGCACTCTTCAGCTTACCGGAAACTGGCTAGGAGTTACCATCCGGATGTGAACAAGTAAGTTAAATAACTTCCTTTTAGGGATGAAAAAACTAGGCAGTGGTACAGATTATAACAGACATGACAGGGTCCCACTTTAACCTTGTTTTTCCGATCTTAGTTTTAGTCATTCTTTATTTTCCTATTCAGCGGTAGTTCAGTTGAATAATATGTATTTTTTAACTCGTTGTTTTATGTTCAATCAGAGATCCTGGGGCTGAACAAAAGTTCAAGGAAATTAGTAATGCTTATGAAGTAAGAAGAGTCTTGTAGCTCATGTTTGTGTTTAGATTTGACAGTTTGGAGTATGACCCATGGCATCTAATATCCCTGGAATTCACCTTTTTCAGGTCTTGTCTGACGATGAGAAACGCTCACTCTATGATAAATATGGAGAGGCTGGCCTTAAAGGTGCTGGTATGGGCATGGGGGTAAGTAATTCTCTGATAGAAATATGAAAAATATAGTTATGAAGTTTCTTTGCCTGACTTGTGTTCGTCTGCACTTCTTCAGGATTTCAGTAATCCTTTTGATCTCTTTGAGTCTCTATTTGAGGGCATGGGTGGCATGGGCGGTATGGGAGGTATGGGCATGGGAGGCAGAGGTTCAAGGAGTAGAGCAGTTGATGGACAAGATGAGTATTACAATCTCGTGTTGGACTTCAAGGAGGCTGTTTTTGGTGTCGAAAAGGAGATTGAGATTAGCAGACTGGAGAGCTGTGGGACTTGTGAAGGATCTGGTGCTAAACCTGGAACCCAACCAACTAGATGTAGCACATGTGGTGGTCAAGGCCAGGTCGTCTCATCAGCCAGGACTCCTTTAGGTGTCTTCCAGCAGGTCATGACTTGCTCTTCATGTGGCGGATCTGGGGAAATATCCACACCTTGCAACACATGTTCTGGGGATGGGCGAGTACGGAGAACAAAGCGGATAAGTTTAAAAGTTCCAGCAGGCGTTGATGGTGGTAGTCGTCTAAGAGTTCGAAATGAAGGGAATGCAGGAAGAAGAGGAGGATCTCCTGGGGATCTTTTTGTTATTATCGACGTTACACCTGACCCTGTCCTAAGACGTGACGATACCAATATCTTGTACACTTGCAAAGTGTCCTACATCGATGCCATCTTGGGCACTACCATCAAGGTTCCAACTGTAGATGGCATGGTTGATTTGAAAATTCCTGCCGGGACACAGCCAAATACAACACTTGTGATGTCAAAGAAAGGAGTTCCTCTTCTGAACAAAAGGAACATGAGGGGGGATCAGTTAGTTCGCGTACAGGTCGAAATTCCGAAAAAGTTGAGCAGCAACGAGAGGAAGTTGATCGAGGAACTCTCGGAGTTGAGCAAAGGCAAAGCTGTGAGCAGTAGAAGATAATAGCGGTTGCATTGAATTAAAGGCAGATCAGAAAAGGAATTGGAAGGATTGATACATGTAGGTTGTAGCGTAGTAGGTAATTCAATATTATTAGTACAATTTTGTCAACAATATTATGAATGATATGATAGGAAGAAATGTAACTCAAAGATGAACACTCTTTGATCGACAATATTTCAGTACAGACATATATTCTGGACCTGGTGGGATTGGTTTTACTTAAATAACCCTCTTATTCTTCTTCCCAATCTGACTGCAGATTTAAAAAATGCACTTTTTGGGGAGCTTTCATTTCTTTACCATAGGATTCATGTTTTTTATATATATTCACTTACTTGGTAAATAAACCCGAGGCTCTATGGAAGTCAGTTAGAATAGGAGTAGAGAAAATACCTCAAACCAATGTTCGAGTACAAGGTACTGAACGTCGAGACATTGATGGTGAGTTTTAAACAGTGAAGAAGGCACTCCCTTCTCGTGCCAAAGATAGTATTCCATACATATTTATATATTTACTTAAAATATCTTATAATACTAAAATTTAAATTTTTAGAAATTGGGTTCAACAATTTATTATTATTATTTTGTTATGAAATATTATAGAATTTATTATAATGTTTTGAATTTTTAATAGAAATTATATGAAAAATGTAATTAAATATTACAAAAAGTTCTTCGAAATTAATATTTTGTTTCTAAAATTATATAAAAAGAAGGAGAAATTAAATTCCACATGTGAATTTCCTATTAAATGAGAAAATTTTCAAAATTAAAGGAGAAATTTCTGTAAATGAAAATGGAAATAGGAGGGTAGGTGGGATCACGGAGGTTCGACTCCAACCCAACGTGAACTTCCTCTGTCTTTTAAAAGGAAATTAAAAGAGAAAAAGAAAAAAAAAAAAAAACTTTAATGGGCTTCTGAGTGGGCTTAGTGTAGCATCAACCGCGGTCCAGCCCGATTCTTGGCAACGCTTTCGTTTTCATCTCCCAGAGCTTCGCATCTTGCAGGGTTCCGTTTCAATCCTTCTCCGCCTGCTGTTCATAGACGCTCTTGGGAGAAACTGCGCCAAGCGAAGAAAGCAAAGCCGAGAACATGGGAAGCAGACTCGGGAGAAGAGTTGTTCACTTCGCTAATCTTCCAATCAAGCTTCTTATGCCAACCTCCTTCACCAACATCACTGAAATTGCTCTCAAAACCATTCCTTCTGCTTCCAAAATCGAAATCAAGCGCGTCCTTGAGAGCCTATACGGCTTTGAGGTCGATAAAGTTCGTACTCTCAACATGGACGGGAAGAAAAAGAAGCGCGGAGGACTTTTGATCGCAAAGCCTGATTACAAGAAGGCTTATGTTACTCTCAGGAATTCCTTATCAATCTCTCCGGACGTGTATCCGATCCGTATTATAGAGGAGGACAAGAGGAATATGAATAAACAGTCTAAGTCCAGCATTGTTGAGGAGGGCGAGGCCAAGAGGCATTGGCTACATGAGAAGGAGCCTGTTGGATTCAAAGCTTACAAGGGTTTTTCTGATAGAAGCCGCCGACGAACTGGCAGTGCTGAAACTGTTGAACCATCGACTAAGTTTCCTTGGAGTAGCATGAGGTCTGGTAGGTAGTGTGAAGAAACGTATCCCAGTTGCTTCTTAATTGTGATCTGTTTTGGATTTTCTTCTTCTTCTAAACGATAATAGTGTAATAGGTTGATGAGCTTAATGATAAATGTTTGATTTTCTAATTATGAAATGAACTTGTTGGCCCTCTTATGGGATGTTTTGCAGGAGGAAGTTCTGTTCTGTTGCTTGAATCAATAAATACATTAGAGTTGCATTTGTATTATTCCCACGTATTCTGTGGATTCTAGTTAGATAATTCCTGAATGTGTTGTGGGTTCATCATCAAATATTCGGTAGCAATAATGTGGTTATAATGACTTGACAAATGCCATTACATGCTGTATGAAAAAGCTCATTACGTAAAACTATTTTTTCTGTAGTCTTTGTAGCTATTGGAAAGAAAAAGATACAAAAAATCCATATTTTATATTGTTCTTGTTCTTGTTCTTGGTGAAAGATGTTCTTATGGAAAAGATAGGATATATTGTCTGCATTCTGCTAGGTAAACAATATAAAAGACCTGGAGTTGTATCTCTATACACCCACAAGACAATCATGCACAAGTGAAGTAGAATAGCAACTTCTTTGAACCATTTATCATTTTGAGGAATCTGATCTTCAGGTCAGTGATAATCTTTGTCTTAAGCTCATTCGAGAACTAGTCTGGCTAGATCTCCGATGGGCAGGTTCATCTCCATCAACTCTTGTGTGGAAGGAATTCTTTATCTTCTTCCAACCCAATCCCCAACCTGTTACATTTTTCTGTTTGTTCAATTTTTCATACTCTTGTTGCAGCTCTGAGTAGTCACTTTGCAGCTCTGCCATCTGTGCCTTCACGCTCTCGAGTTCTGCCTTGAGGTTTTTAATCTCTCTGTCCATTGATAAGTGGTTTCCATCTTGATCTGAGTTATCACTATTAGGTGCTTTCTCCTTTTCTTTCATCGCTGACCTCATCTTCACTTGCTCTGAGAAAAGAACCTGCATATTCACTCAACCATTGTGATCACCACTTTGAACTCTAAACTATTGACCCACTACTTATTCAAAGTAGAAAAAGATGTAGACATCTAATATTATAGTCTTCTTATATGTCTAATTACTTCCCTGTTCTGACTGCCTACTATATAAGCAGTGAATACATTCTTCCTTATGCCAATTGTATTAGTATTACTACAATGGAACATAAATGGGTCTTTTCCACTAGGGCTATGAAAGGGAGAATGCATGGAAGGATTATTGTTATTAATATATGAGTAGGAAATAGGACTCAGGGAAGATGCTTCTACAATTTGCTTTTTGTTGATGATCTTAATTTAACCTTGTTTGAGATATGTTATGCAGTATATTGTATTTGTGACAAACCTTATCTCTTTGTCGGGAGATAAGGGCAATTGGTTTTAGTAAGCCATATTCCTTTTTGTCTACACCCTTCGAGAGCCTATGGGCAGCCTTTATGTTCTGATGCTTCTATCTGCTCTGATTCTTCTATCTTTGCTTGTTGTTTTAATTATATTCTACAGTGTAAATATGTTGCTGGGATTTTAAACTAGATTACTCTAAGTTATAGGGCTTATATAATGTCACCTGAACAATAGTTCTTAGAGGCAGTCGATCATTTTGTGCAGCATGCACACAAGCGTCAAGCGACAGTTTCTCACAGTTCATGATTTTGCATAGCTTTCTCCAATCGTGCTCAAATAGTAAAGGATGAGTCTGTAGAGAAGAAAAGTCTGTAAGTCTCTAAAGCGATTTTTTTTTTCTTTCGTTCCAAGCGTGTATAATTTGCAGCAAATGAGAAAATTATTAAAAACAAGACAATCAATATGCAACCTTGATGTAGGTGTCAATGGCTCTGTATAATCCATCATGACAATGCCTTGCATTTTCTGATAGTGAGTTGGCTAAAGTTTGAAACTTAGTGATGGAGAGATTTGGATCACTTGCAAGTTCAGCTAGGTAATTGTCTATGAGCTTACACACATTAGAGTTCCCAATTCTATGTTGCTGCTGTTGTTGTTCAAACAGTGAGTAATATTCTAGGAGCCTTTGCACTACTTCTATGTCATGCATAGTGCGTTCTTGGGAACTGAGGAGCAAGTCATTGATGAAAATCAAAGAATATGACTGTTAGTGAATTCGATAAGCGTTGGAGACTTCTAATCGGTACGTATTGAGCTTCTAAGAACAATACTTACTTTGGCAAGTTTCCTTGGTCATAACTTGTACAACTAGGTATTAAAATATCAATCACATTGGCATCCTCCAACACCATTCCTATTCTTTTCTCTAGTTCTGAAACCAAAGCTGCTGATGTAGAATGCACCCTTGCCATCTTTAGCATCTGCAACAAGAACTTGCAAGAAACTGCTTCTCTTTGAGGAGGAAGTATGCTTAATAGGCTTTCAATAATGGATTTATGTTCTTTGTTGTATCCAATTCCAAGTTCATCTTTCCTACAACTCGAAGTACTTGCTTGCATGTCACTTTTGTCCTGTGTATATTCTCCAAGTCCTGTTTCCATTTCAATGCCTGGCAACCACTTCCTTGCATACTGCTCTATGCTTTGACCTACAATCTCTGGCTTTATACCTTTGGTTCTTATTGCAGTTATAATTCTTGTGTAATAGTCTATGCGAAGTGTGGTTAAATCATTTAGCCACCACGCATCTTCACTGACTGTATCTCCTACTATGTTCTCTCTAGAGAGTTTCCGAGCTATCGAGTCACAGCATCGTCTCACAATTTGAAGATTTTCAGCCCATGGAGAAAGTCTCTGACAAGTTTTGAGAACAGCCAGTGACTCTTTCCATGATAAAAGGACTGCAAATGTGAGGAAGGACTCCGTCTTGGATATGAGGTTTCCATCTTCATATTCCTCTGTCATCTCCAAAAACTCTGATGCACATCTTAATGGGGCTACATTGCCCGAGTTCAGGTCTACTGGGAAACCGTAGCAGTATTTGAGAACCATTTCGAATGTTTCCGATCCACCGGGGAAGTTTTCGAGCTTTAGGTCATATCCCTGGGTTGAGATCGAAGATTGAAGTTCCATTCGGACTATGTAGCCACATTTTGAGATCAATGTATTCTGTTTCAAGAAAGGTTGAGGTGAGAAGCTTATCTCTTACATTTTAGTTTATCATTGAGCAACTAGAATGATCTTATACACCGAAATTTTAGTCGGATAGAAATTGAGAAATAGAAACGATTGAGATCTTAGTTAGCCTTTTTGTTCATTCTTGATTCTTTAGGAAGAATGGCTTCAAGAACTCTTTTTACTGCATTCATGTTTAATATCATATGAAGCTGAGTTGTAGCTTATTTGCATATAGTTAGTTAGTTACCTTGTGAACATTGAAGGTGATCTCTTGAACTTGAATTCTCAAATCTGTTGGGATCTTAGTGGTGATAAACCTGCAAAGGGAAGACCAGAGATTGTATTCAAAACACTAAATTCATAATTCTAGATTCTAAGATGAACTCAAGGTTCTACCATGCGTCATTTTTGTTGTTGATGCAATCAGCTTCAGTGATGAGTTTATTCGGAATCACGATCCTCTTGTCGTGAACCTGCTCCGCTCCTTCCCAATTGCTCTCGGTATCTGACATTCTAGTAAGAGACTCCGTGTTCATGTCTCTCACTGATGAGTTTGTTTGGAATCACGATCCTCTGGTCATGAATTTGCTCGACTCCTTCCGAATCTCTCTCGGTATTTGGCATTCCAGTAAGAGACTTCACGTTCCTCCGTCTCTCACTAATGAGTTTGTTAGGAATCACGATCCTCTAGTCGTGAACTTGCTCGGCTCCTTCCGAATCGCTCTCGGTATTTGGCATTGCAGTAAGAGACTTCATGTTTCTCTGTCTCTCACAGATGAGTTTATTCGAAATCACGATCTTCTGGTCGGGCGTCTCTCACTCATGTATCTCATATCATGATCTCTCTTATGGATTTGATCTGGTTTCAAAGGGGATCAGTGCAAGGGGGAAATAAATGCAACAGAAGCAAGTATATGTGGCTGTGATGGAAGGCATCCACTAAAGAGGGTCCATGGAAATGCTCATCCATTTCTTGTTTCAATATCAGAGACAGTGGTGGGAGATTGATATTGTGCCTCATTTATGAGGGAGATGAAGAATGTTGGGTATCATATCACCACATTTTCTTCCATCTTCCTCTACCATAACTCAACCAGTGGATATGTGTGGATTAGTTGTTAATGTACAATGTTTATTAGGAAAATGCCACCTTGTTGACTCAGCCTTTTGTTAGTCCTTTTCAAAATTTACAAAAATAGCTCCACACTGATCTATTCAAAAAAGAATTCTTGTTTTAGATACACGTCTTTGAACTTCTAATTCAAAATTTTTAAAAGCTTCTATTAGGTATCGGAGTTTTCAGCTTTTTTATTTATGAACAACATTTTATAATTTTGCATTTAATAAATTATTGACATTCATAAAGTTTTTGAAATTTACATGAAGGATTTGAAGTTCTTTGCCAAGGAGGGGATCATCCCATTGCCAAAACACATTCACTAATCACACACTACTGTGTTCAGTTCCTACGGGAGCCATGAAGTGGAAGAACATTTATGTACAAATAAGATGATCTATAAGAACATCAAATTTAAAAACAAACTATTTTAATAGATTTGTAGAAAGGCAAAGGAGAAGGACCATACAAGACTACATAGCAACAGATCCATCCCCACCCTGCTGCCTAACTCTCAGAGTCAAATATATCAATATCAAGGTTCCCAAGCTTGACCTGCAAATGGCAAAATCATCTGATATAAAAGATTTCTTTTTTTGATGAACAATCAAGTTAGCTACAGGTTGCTTCTTTTTATTTATTTAAAACTTGGAGTAGCATTATTTAGATAGATTGGATCTTGATTCTCTACAAGGATGGTATAGTTTATATCAAAAAAGCATTTTTTTTCCCCTTAAAAGGGAAACTGAAAAAGAAAAAGGAAAAAGAAAAAGAAATGAAATGAGAAGGAAAAGGGTAGTGTTCCACAAAGTGCTAAAAAACAATTTTCAGATCTTACAAAAGATTTAAGAACATTTAAAGGTAGTCTAAGTATTTTAAAGCACTTTTTTCTCGAACCTCCTCCACCTATCCTCAATCAATAGCTATGCAGTAAAAGTCACTTGTGTTTTGGACTTTCTAAGATAAATTTTTTTCGTAAATGCTCAAAATTCAACTCAGTAATCGGACTGGGACCAAAATAAAGAAGATTAGGAATCTGGTACTCACAATACCGAGAAAAGAACAACAATCTTTCTTGAATCAAATGAAGCAGAACGTTTATATTTTCTCCACCTGTTGTTTGACGCGTCCTGAGCCTTTTCGATCCCTGATTTTTCTGATGAATAACAAAAGAAATTGAAGTATTGATAAAAGATTATTGAATTTTCCTTGATGATTGAAATTTTCTATACAAGTTGTTTCGTTTTTCAAGCACTAGAAAGCAAATGCGTGCATACCTTTAGACGAGAACTTCAGCAACATTAGTCCATGATCCAACAAATATTGCACAAGTTTCGCCCCCATTTTAAGACTGGACTGTCTCTGCAGTACCTTCTCAATGCGCTGTAAGAGACGTAGAATACAGATCACACACCTTAGTCTTCAAAACTTTTAAAAAAGTAAAATCAAACCCATTAAATTGATTTCAAATGATTAAAAAACATGTCTAGAGTGAATTGAAACATGATAAGAGTGGTTTAAATAATTTACAAATCAATTAGCTATCATTTTAGGATCATGATTTTCATTTTTTTAAAAGGAAAAGCCATCTCTAAAATTTGCGTAAATAGATGAGTTCAGTTACCACTAATGTACTCTCAGTTCTCAAGCTTTCAAAAGTTCCTTCACAGGATTTAGATGTTTTGAGCTTGTCCAGCTTGTCCTTGTCAATATCAATATTTACTATGCACGAGGAACAAGCATCACCAGCATTCACGTGTATGTCAATTACGTTCTGGCAAGTCAAGCGAGTATCTGAAGTTTCCAATGACATCCTAGTTTTTGTTGGATGGGTAACTTCCAGGAAGCTGAGGAAAGCCAAATGTGGATCACACTCTGGACTGTTGTCGAATCCCTCGGTACTTAAAAAGCTAGAGGAATCACGGGCCTGAACAAATAAAGAATATTTGAGAAGAAACTCACGAGATATATAGCATAACTATAAGTGTGAATCATCAACTAAGGTAAATAAATATCTAGAATTCATTTAAAAATGATAACGTTTAGAGAAAAAAAAAAAAAGAAACAAAGAACATAGATATGCATTTCAAGGGCCAATAGGAGAAAGAGAATGACAACCACAAGTAAATAGGATTGTTTTCAAAGCAGTTTATCTTTTTTATTAGATAAAAACAGTTGAAGAGATCTATATATTCATCAAATATAATAAAACAAATTCAATAGAAATAGATTAAACGAGCCATTGAATGGGAGAATAATCTGATTGGGCACTGATGGTTGTGGGTAAAGGACCACAACAAAAGTAAGAGATTGTGCCCTGTAAGGGGATTTGAAGTGAGAGGTGAGTGGGTTGATTTTGCTTTGCGTTTCTAAAGAGGATAGCTTTTTTACAGAAATAATTGCGAAACTAATAAACAATTTAGACCTTAATCAACTATTTTGAAAGCAATCAACATTGCTTTTAAAAAACAAAAGGTAACCAACATGATAAAGTAAGATAATAATTATAGATAATAGTTTGATGAAATTGAAGTTAGCTAATCAGTGATTTGATGTATAATTAACAAACAAAAATTTCAATGAAGTACAATAATCATGTATTTTTCATAACTAACAACTGATATACGCGATCTAAATGCGTCATTTGCTAGTTTTTTTCTCTAAAAATTTTCTTTTCGGCTACTTTCATAAATTTCTTTAATTGCTACACCTGCCCAAGTTATTTTCTTCTTGCACAAAACAATGGCCCCAGACGCCATGTCCAAAAGAAGAAATGGTGAGCTCCATCAAGTTGTTGCCACAAATAGAGAGAGAGAGAGAACACCAAAATATAGTGGAAAAGCAATACACAATAAAAAAGGAACTTACCAAAGAATTTTGGAAGGGGAACGAAGTCTTCTCAAAGAGAATCGGCAAAATTTCTGAAGGGCGAAAACAATTAATTATCAGCATCATGCAACTGGAAATCTAAAACTACGGATTACTTCACTTACAAAGTGTAATTAAGAAAAATACCTAAACTTCAATTACAAAGTGTAATTAAGAAAAATACCTAAAGAACAATGACGCTCCCTCTCGTCAAGTCTAGTAACTTTCGCTAGTTTTTCTTGAACGAGAACTCCATTCGACACAGCTGCAGTCTGAAAGGGAACGAAAAAGGGAAATACATTATCCAAAGCAACGCCAAAAGCAAAATGAGTACACAAGTGATAAAATCATAAAGCTTAAACGAATCTTCAGATTCTCATTTCTTAGCCAACAAAAAAAACTCCAGCACAACAGAAATCTGTAAAAAATGAATGAATAAACCAAATTTGCGAGTCTAAAATTACAGTGTGGAGGAAATCGAGAGGAAGAAGGGCTAATTGAAACTTACTTTTGGTGATTTGATAACAAGCATTGAAAATGTCGACTTAAAACAAATGGAAAGCACCATTACCTGACACTGATTAACAGCCATTGCTGCGAAGCTAGAAGAGATTGAGTCCCCTCGGCTCTAGCCTCGGCCATTAAAAAGCCATCAAATGGACAGAGACAGAGAGAGAAGAGCCATAGATATAGACGTTAGTACGTTGCATCGAAATCGGGAGCGCTTTTTTTTTTTTTTTTTTTTTTTTTTTTTTTTTTTTTTTCTTTCTTCCTTTTATTTTAATAAATTTTATTTTATTTTTTTGTCCCTTCTGATTGGCACGATTTGGCATAGCCCATGCTAGTTATTTTCTGACCATAATGCCCTTTTCGCTTTTTTATTTCTTTTTGTGTTTTTTAATTGCGTCTTATTCAATAATAATTGATTTAAAACGCATAAAAAAAGCTACATAATGGTTAGGTTATATCTCAACTTTTGATTTTATTTATTTATTTATATGAAAAGGCAAGAAAATAAATATTTAAATATTTCAAAATTTTCAAAATGTTTTTGTTTTGAAAAATATATGTATTTGGTATCTATTTCTTATTTTTATATAATTTCGTAAAAACACAAAGCTATCATAATTCGAATTTCAAGAACTCTTAGAAAATTAAAAAAAAAAACATGTGAACGAGAGCAAACATGTTAAAAGAACTCGAGTGAGAAAAAAAAACATGTTAAACAGACTCGTACTAGTTTGTGGAGGATAATTATCACTTTGAGAAGCACTTCAAAACAAGTAAATATTATGATCATGTCGAAAACACAAATACAGTAAATATTAGGACCTACAAAATACTAATTAAGTATATATCAATTTTATTTTAAAATTTTAAATCGTAAAATAAAAGGGTTGTTTTATCATTGTGACACGAAGATATTTTAAAATAAAATCATTAAAGAATTATTTTCAAATATATGAACAAATACATTTCCTTCTGCATTTCCCTCTAAAAATAATATATATAAATAAATTAACCATTCATTCATTTAAAAAAAAAAAAAAACAATAAATTTAAGTAGCAATAATACAACAATAATAATTAATTAAGAGAGAGAGAAAAAGTTTTTTTTTTTTTTAAAAAAAGAAAATTAAGAAAACCAAAATTAGAATTAGAAAATATGAAAGTGGGCCCAAAGGGGTGGGTCCCACGAAGTGCAGAAATCGAGGAAGCTTTTCACGTGGTACGAAATAGGGAGAATCAGGGAATAGAGGAAAAGGATAGGGGTAAAATGGGGAAAATGAAAAACGGAGGGTATTTGTTTGAATTGTGCATGTGAAGGCCAAAGGTCGAAGACTGGTTGTTTTGTGAAGAAATGAAACCACCAAACAAAACAAATGTCTAAATCAAAATAAGCCTTCACGGGTTGCCAAACTGTTTCAGCCGCTACTCACCAAAGTCCTACCCTCTCTCCTAGCCTCACGTTTGTCTTTCCAAACCAAACAAAACCTCCCTTTCTCCCCCGAACAATTATTCGATGAGTTTGTCACTGAATCTCCGTCGTTTTTTACATTGGAATGTTTGAGAAAAAGATCTCAAACTTACATCAAGGAGTAAATAGAGACACATAAAGGCATTCAAGAAGCCACTCGTCGCTTTTTTGGACAAGTTTCTATTAAGGCTAGACCGACCAAACAAAACCTCCCTTTCGTATGTCCATTGTTTTGTTACAATGGAATGAGTGAGAAACGTATCTCAAACTTATGTCGAGGAATAAATAAGGACATAAAAGTCAAAGAGGCATTTAGGAAGCAACTAGCTTCTGGACAACGCTTCTATCAGACCAGGCCAACCACTACATAAATAAAGAGATCCATATACCAATTATGAGCGATGGTGAAGCCGTCAAAGGCACGGGCAAGATCAAAGAGCTTAGTGGGAACACTCGAGAAAAGAGCATATCAGGGGTTAGTGCGCCCTTTGTCCCATCGTACTAATAATACCCTTGTAGTTGAGATCATTCCTTTCCCCGGCTCGTAATAGATCGTTAAGTTTGGCTCCGTGGTATAACCTTGAAATCATTTGGCTGCCATGCAAAGAGAAACATCCCTTTCTCCTACAACTCTGAAAAAATCATGAACTATAAGTTGGATGGCCTCTTGACTTTGAGCTTTTCCTGAAGTAATTGTGAAGCATCGTTACATAAATAAATAGAGAGTAGAAACTAGCACGACAACAAACCAGCATAATCCGAGTAACAGCCAGACCGTAACATTTCGATGGTACCTTCTTACAACTTGCCAATTCACTCGACCGATGGCAGTTCGGACCCTACGTGAACAGTCAAATCCGTCAGCGTTTTATAAGGTTTCATAAGTAACTGGTAACAAAAAAACCATTGTTCCTTGTAAAGCTACTCCAATACCCTTGAGTTTAAACTATCACGACATCACGAGACTAATTAATGTAACGGCGTTTGTTATCTTTGTTATAAATCATGGAGAGTCGTTGCCACCACCCCCACCCCCCCTCTAAAAATGAACCTTCGAGCTTTACCTAGCATGTTCGGTCCCATGAAGGACACAGTCACTACCCAGAACTCCTAAACTTATAGGTTTCAACACTACCTCCCACCTGACCTGGGGGTGCCCTCCGCCCTCGTTCGTCCCCTCCCACAAAAAAATGCGTCATAACGCTCTCAATTTTCTCGCTCACCCCAAAAGTGTCTTAAAGAAAGACATGAAATAACTTGGGATCTCGCTCAACATCGACTGAATAAGAGTGATTTTTTCCCCTTTAGAGAAGACCTTTTTCTCAAGTAGACAATCATTTGTAAACCTTTTCCACCAAAGAATCCCAAAAGGTCTAACTCTTCAAATTACCACTTAAGGGCAACCCCAAGTAAGAAGAAGTGAGCTGACACACCTCACAACCAAGCTTAACTTGGAGGGCAGCAATTTAAGTCAATATTTGAGCTCTTACCATGGTAATCTTAATGTCAAAATCACTTCAAAAGACGACAAAAACCTATTAGGATTAACAAACGACTTTTCCTAACCCGAATATAAAAGGAAAGTGTCATCTTCAAACTCAAAGGCGAATCGACTCATTGCCCACCTTAAACCCCTCAATCTCCCCCGTCTCCATACATGTTGACATTACACCTTTTCCATGTGTTCCTAATATGTAAGTTCCACAATAACAAGTCCTTACACAATAACTACTCTCAAGCAGCAACCACAAGTAGTCTAAGAAAGTATGATTAATTTGAGCAAACCTTTCGTTAGTTCAAGTGGTCCCTTTAAATAGCAAGGTTATCCCCGACAAGCACAGGCAATGTCCTAGATCTGAAAGGAAATGTCCAAGAAATACTAAGCTTGTTCAGTTTAACCATATAAGTGGATCTACATTATTGGTTTTTATAAATTGTTTTGAAGCAAACGAGAACAAGCTTTGTATTTAATGAAATAAATAGAATAAAAGTAGTCTTCATACCTCTACGTGTGTGCCAATTGCTACAGACTTGTTTCCTCTCTTCGGCCGTAAATAACATTATTTCCTTTTTTCTCAGGAAGTGCAAGCTTCATTGAGAAACATTTTCATGATGTCCTTCATCGAACCGATAGGACTCTCATTCTGTAATGGTCGAGTTGGTGCCATGTTCCAAGTGTACAATCTGGGGGAAAGAAAAGATATGGCAGGACATACCTTTATGATGTAAAGAAAAGATATGACAAACATATCATCTCCTCGCGACATGCTCGACCTGAAGAGAAGGAACTTCAATTTACACTAACGGTGTAGCAACAAATGCAATACCCCGTCTCCATACCATCACATCATCTCTTGAATGATGTTTAAAGCAGAACTAGTAACGTGCGTTGTTCTAGGCTAGATAAGGTTTGAGATTTTTCATCACGTACGGTATAAACATACATATTTTATGCATGAGAATAAGGACAATAGTGATTCTAATCAACAAACAAACTAGAGAGAAAGAAATAGAGAGAGTACTCTACCAAGTAAGCCACAGACAAAGCATTTTCTCAGCTGTCCAACTTCTGATCAACAATGCTAGAAGGCAAACCCAGCGTTTGATAAGTAACATCGTCTGGAATTATTCCATCCGCTCTCATTTCATCGAACAGTTCGTGTGCTTTGTCAATTATTCCAAGTCTAAGAAACCCAGAAATAAGAACAGTGTAAGTTATCACATCCGGTGTAAGATTGGCTCTCTTCATATCATCAACCAAAAACCCGGCAAGATCCAAGCGTCTTAACTTGCAGAATCCATCAATTAAACAAGTGTAAGTAACAACAGTAGGTGAACATCCTTCATTTGACATTTTCTTAAACAAAGCCAACGCCTTCTTCATGTCTCCGGTTCTACTAAATCCAGCGATCATGGACGTGTACAAAATCTGATCCGGATTCATACCTTTTACAATCAATTCCTTAAATAATTTATATGCCCAATATGTTTCATTCCTCTGGCACAACATATTAATAATAATAGTAAACGTGACCGTGTTGGGTGCAACTCCTAGTCTTTGCATTCTTTCAAACAGCATTAATGCTTTCTTCATGTTAGAATGCTTTGCAAAACCATCTATAAGGGTACTATAATGTACAACCCCAGGAAGAATATTCAACTTTAGCATTACAGGGAAAAGCTCCCACACTTTTTCCAGCCTTCCTTCCTCACACAACCTCTTCATGATTATATTGTAGGTGTATGAGTTAGGCATAATACTTAGATCTTCCATATGAATCATAAATTTCAGGGCCTCCTCCAATTTCCCTTCTCTGCAGTACCCGTCAACGATAAAATTGCAAATCATCGTATCGGGCAAACCACAATATTTTAGCATGAAATTGAAAAGTCCTATCGCTTTATCAAAATGTCCCATCTTACAAAACCAACGAATCATCCCACCAAAATCGAAATCATCAGGACATAAATGATTGTCTACCATCTCATCCAAGAGTTTGTAAGCATTATCCATATTACCATGAGAACAAAATCCTCTAATCAAGATGTCATAAACAATGAAATCATATTTGTAACCAAGCTTCTGAAGTCTACGAAAAATATCTAGGGAAACATCCATCAATCCGCTCTTACAAAAACCATAAATCACAGATGAATAGCTGACTAAGGATGGTTTTAATCGAAAAATCTCCATTTCCTCAATCAGATTTAGACCTTTCTCAATTTCCCCTTTTTTGCAGAACCCATCAACTAAAATACTATAACTGTATGCATCTGGTAGTATTCCATAACCCCTCATTTCCTCCAAAACCTTCAGAGCTTCCTCTATCTTACCCTCTAAACAAAATTTATAAAGAATCGGATTGTAACAATAAGCATTAAGAGGTTGGTTTTTGAGTCTCAGACTTTGAATGAAGAACAAAGCAGACTGAACAGAAACTACTTTACAAAGTGCACGGATGTAAATGCTGTATGTTACAACAGTGGGTGTCTCACCACTCATCATTAATTCCTCAAGAAAAAGGGTTGCTTGTTCAATGTTGATATCACGCCCATTTAGTCCTTGGCAATAGAAGTTCATCATAATTGTGTAGGTATACACATTAGGATTTGGGCCAGAAGTCTTCAAATCCTCAAACAAACATCTAACAAAATCTTCTTTGTTTGCTTCAGCCAAACACTTGAGCAAAAAATTGCACGACGAAATCTCTGGCTCAATCCCCATTTTTTTAGCTTGAATAAACACATCCACAGCATTCTCAACCATTGAATTACCAGAGAAAACCTTTATAAGCATGTCAAACACAATTATTAACTTCCCCACATCATAATTAGAATCCATAAGAAATGGGAGCAATGCAAATAAATCCTGCTCAGCCTTCCTAGTGTGGCAAACAATATCTCTAAGAAGAGAGTAAACTTCCCTCCGCATACCCGCCAGTGAAAATACATGAACCATAATTCTAAATGCATATAGAGAGTTAAAATACCCATAATATTTCACGGCTGTCGAGAATCTTACCTGCCTCGCCACCGTCCAGTTCAAAGATTTTAGAACACGAACAACTAAAGGAAAGAGCTGCCCCTTCCTCCAAACAACTGAACAGTTTCTTGTGGCGTTAGCTTCATGAAAAGCTTTAATATGAGCTGCTGGACTTTCATCAAACACTTGGTCTTCAACCAACAACACCGACAAGGAAGAATAGCACGCTCTTCTCAAGAGATGGTAGTGAAGAACTCGATTATGGAGGAAAAACAACTCAGATGAACATACTTTCGAACATGGGCAAAAACCCATGAATGAATAAGATGACCTTGATTAAAATTTGGTTTCGGAGGCTAATTCCCAACTCTCTGGAGGTCTGAAAATTAAGCAATGAGACAGAAATGGATAATTTCGAAGTAGAAAAAGGTTTATCTACCTTAGCTACGAAGTGAAAGACTAGGCGCTGCAGGGGTTGAGGGATTGTGCAGAGAAAATACCCATCTCCGGTAGTCGGCTATCAGAGAGGTCCTTGTCTCACAAACCGGGCGGCGGTGGTTTTAGCACACCCAAAATCATGAACCAAAAACACCCATTGTAAATCGAACTATACGTAAATTCAATTTTTTTTATGAACCAGAACCAGAACCAGAACACACCCCACTGGTTCTAAAAAGATTTAGGGTTATTTTTAATTTTATTGGATTTTTTTATCGTTAAATTAATAAAATATATTTATAATATTTAAAGGTTCTATAGTACCCTTGAATTTCCAAAAAAAAATACTGATTTTGGAAGAAAAACATTAGTATTTATATAAATATTCTTAAAAATAAAAAATTTTAATTAATACAAAAATTAATTAATACTTTTTTTTATTTTTTTAAATAGTATTTATATAAATATTTTAAAAATTAAAAAGTTTAATTAATATTTTTTTACTTAAAAAAAAAAAAAAAAAAAAAAAAAAAAAAAAAAAAAAAAAAAAAAAAAAAAAAAA